TTCCTCTACTGGCTGGTAATCATGTAAATAGAGGAAGTGAGTTTTTATGGGCTTAATTTAATTATGACTGGTCAGATTGTACCTGATTGCTCTAACCAAACCAGGTGGTCTTTTAAAGCTGGGGATATCAGGTTGCTTGCTCCTGATGTACCTATCTGAAGAACTGTGGGGACACATAAAACAAATGTCCATACTGAAAAACAATACATTAAACTTAGCAGTATTCATCAGAGTCCTCTAGAAGTTCTGAGCAGGGCTGGATTAACATAGGGGCTGATGGAACTGCAGCTCCAGACCCAGGCCCATGGAATAGGCCCATTGATCCCACCGAAAAATGTAAAAACATTTTTTTTTTTTTTACCACTACTCTTAGGGTTGCCACCTGGCTGTGCTGACATTGCAGTATTACTGGCATATAAATGCCAGTATTTCTCTCAGTATAAACAGAGATTTCTCTGCAATACCAGCACCGGGCAGTAGGGGTCGTTGTGTGTGTGGAGAGAGGCAGGGATAGGAAGTTACAGCATATACCTGCATCGCTCTACTCACTGATCCGCGGGGGAGCATCTACACAGCACAGAGAGCCCAGACAGCAGCTCCCAGCCTGCAGAGACAGCCTACAGCTTAGGGAAGTGAGGGATGGGGTAAAGGGGTGACATGTGGACACTGAGACACTATGGGACACTGTGAGATATGGGGACACAGGGAGACCTCTGGGGACACTGAGACACTTGGGGACACTTGGAGACACAGAGACACAGACACACTGAGACATGGGGGCACAGACATACATTGGAAAACTTAGGGACACTGAGATATGGGGACACTGAGACCTGGGAACACTGAGACACTAAGGGATGCTGGGAGACATGGGGATACAGACACTTGGGGAAACAGACACACATTGGGACACTGAGACAATTGGGAAAACTGGGAGACATGGGGACACAGACACTAGGGACACAATGTACCTAAGTGTCTCAGTGTCCCCATGTCTCCCTGCCAGTATCCCTGGTGTCTCAGTGTCCCCATGTCTCCCAGTGTCTCAGTGTCCCTAGTGTCTCAGTGTTCCCATGTCTCCCAGTGTCCCTAGTGTCTGCGTGCCCATGTCTCCCAGTGTCCCTAGTATCTCAGTGTCCCCATGTCTCACAGTGTCCCTATGTCTCCCAGTGTCCCAAGTGTCTGTGTCCCCATGTCTCTCAGTGTCCACTAGTCACATGGGGACACTGGGCAAAATGGGGACACTGGGCAACATGGGGACACTGGGAGACATGGGGCACTGAGACACTGTGATACATAGGGACACCGTGATACAGTCTCAGTGTCCCCAAGTCTCCCAGTGTCCCAATGTCTAACAGTGTCCCCTAGTAACATGGGGACACTGGGAGACATGAGGACATGGACACTAGAAGACACTGGGAGAGATGTGTATACTGGGAGACAGAGAGACACTGGGAGCAATCCATCTATACAGCAGAATCAAACTGTAAGTAGTTTTTAGGTGATTTCACAGAATTTTCTCTTACTCCTTGTAATTTACATAATGTGATGTCACGCATTCATAATAAGTTATGCAAATTAGTAAGGCCTTAGTAAGGTGGCAATCCTAACTATTCTTCACATACTCTTGCTTAAGAATGGAAACTTAAGAGGGATATATGGAAACAAAGCTTTTGTGGACTGGCTGACAATAAAATTAGTTTAGGTAATGCTGACTTTGGTCTCTCTAACATTGTGGCATGTTCCCTTTCTTCTACACTCACTACATCCACCTTTTCTCTGTCTCAGACTGTATACCAGGAGCTTCTGCCTGCTAGTAAGAAGGTAAGGAGACAAGTGGACATGTGAGTGCTAGTGGACAGTCCTTAGAAAGCACAGAGCGAGCGCATCATTAGATGCATTTATGCCAAGCTCAGGGTGCTGTCTGCATAGTATGCCCTTAGTTGGCCAGCTTGCATGATTGGCAGACAGCCTGACATGCATTCATGCCAGGCTAGCCTTCCAATTCTTTGGGCAGATATGTCTCCTTTTTGGGCATGTTCATCCCTTTCGTGAGTTCTGGTTACATGATGCGCGTCAGTGGCCTACCCTTTTACACCGCCCATTGACTTCCTGCTTTACTGAACACTGCTGTTAGTGGGTATGGATTTTCTTGAAAGATGAAAGCATGAATTAGACAAAGATTAGTATATTTTAAGATAATCTGAGTTTTCTTATAGCTGCATCCTATGAGTTTCCCTCTGGCAACATCTCCACCAGATACATGTGCTTGAGAGGTATTACAGGTGTTTTTGGTCGATAGGATTCTGTACTTAGGCCCCTCATAATTGTCAGCACCAGGCCCACTGGGCTCTTAATCTGGCCCTGGTTCTGAATCTGGGTCAAAGACACAGGCATGACCCTGCCAAAGGCAGATCTGTGCTTGAAATGAGAATATTGTCCCTGACTTTCAAAAAAGAAGAAGAAAAAAGATGGTCTACTCTATACCCAGATGTTTAGATATTTATTTATCGGCCATTAATGAGGACATCCATTAAAATAGAAAACATCTAACGCCCATGTGAATTATTTTATCCCTCAACCAGTTAATTGCACTGACCAGCTGGAAATAGCTGTATATGTTCATTCAAAATTCAGTTTCCAATTCAGATATTAGCAACTTCTCCATTTAAATATTTAATCTCCATTTCTCACCTATTTTTGTCAATTGAACAACTCTACTTTAATTTTTTTATCTAACCATACCAGGAAATAACATTACTTCTACATCAGTGTCACTCAACTCAAGTCCCTACTGCGTTATAATAGATAATGATGGAACAAATAATTATATATCATCAAGATATATAGGATAACACTATTTATAATGCTAAGAAATATAACACATCAATTCTGGTTCTGTAGCCAGTCATGCTGTCCAGTAACTCCAGAATAATTCCCCTTCCTACAGCTTTGCAAAAATAATGATTACAACACCGTGAATGAAAAACATTTAATATAAATACTTTATGTATATTACGCAGAGGAAAGCATTTGTATACACTAGTTAGACTTGCTGTATGCATTATAGATGAAAGCCTTGCAGAATTGTGTATACTGAATGTAAATATCACCACGATTATGGGAAATATCTCCCAAACATTACCCAACACTGATTTTCATATTAGTGTTTCAATCTCGGCAGTCCAAACCAGTTCTAGATTCTAAACCGCAAAGCACGGTGAAATGAATGTACATAATACCATAAAACATCTGAATGTTATACTGAAATGTGTAAATAGAATATGACTCAAAAAAAAAAAAAGAAGAAAAACAACATATATGCAAACTACAGATAGTTTAGCACAATGATGGAATACTTCTAAATATAGTCATCGTATTATACCCAAATTATAGTTTTTGTAAATCCTCTATATCCTGTTTGCAACACTACACACACATTGTCAACACTGTGCCTCGAGTCCAGAATTAGATTTTTATATTTAAACACATATGCAAACCAACCATTACATAAATAAGCTTTAAACAAAAAAAACCTGAAACTTCCTTTATTTTTTGTTTTTTTGTTGCTGTTTCCATATGGTGAGTTGCTGGAATAAATTAGCTGAACGTTGATCTTTCTCAAGCACATTTAAATTATTGCGATTCCACTTGAAGATGGAGTTTCCATGATCCCTATATTATTTATTTAAGTGCGTAACCTATATTTCCAATCAACCTTAAGCATGCAACAGATTCAGAGCATCTGTATTCTGTTTTTGGTATATAAGTAAATAATTCACTTATTTCTGCATTGTTATTTTGGCAATCCTTTGATTTTTAAAAAAAATAAAATAAGGCTTGGAACTGATTGCATTATTCCAGATTAATTCAAGTGTAGACAGTAAACATTCCCATGCAATACAGCCAGAGCTCTTTAAATTAGATATTGTGCAGGATGAAGAAAGTGTAATTTAATTTGCCGTTACAATATGTTTCACATCAGTACAAGGGGCTATCTGAATTATTATGAGAAGACTGTAACATAGCCATAGGCAGATATATAGTGCCGGAATTGCCTTCATTGCGTCTTCAAATGCAGCCCAAACAAATGTGCACAGAATGCCTGAAATCGTATATTTCCCCTTCAGATGTTTTTGACTTGGAACCTGTTATCTGTAAACAGGATAGGAAAGGGACAGGAGTGTTTAAAGACAGTTACGCGAAACAGATCTAAAAATAATACGTTGTGAGTTGCAACTTGGAAGAGCTAAATATAGCAATGAGAGGAAGGATTGACTCTTGCTTTGCTTCGTCCTGCAGAGACTGGACAGGTTATTACTATATAAGAGAGAGTCGGTGTATGAAGTTAAGGATGAGTAAAGCTTATTTCAAGAAAGTAGTTTAAATATCTCTTATGAGTCTTTTAGTTTAGATAGATATGAGTGCATGAAAGTCAAATTCAATAGTATTATTAAAATACTGTGTGAATAAACATTTGTATGCTGCCTTGGCAGTGGCCAATTTAAGTCTCCAGTCATGTGGCAAGCATTCATTGTTCATAGAGCACCTGCCTTACTCCATAATTTGCATGGGCAAAGGGCTGCTTCTGTCTCATGAAGAACAGGATGAGGCAAGAGCCAAAGATTGGTTGAGTGAGCATCACGGAAAAAAGAGTCCAGCTGGAGACTCAATGGTTTTAGAACAGTAGTGGATTTAGAACAGTAGCAAAACATATACCTATACAACTGTTGTTAAAGTGAAACATGTTTTTAGTTCAATAAAGCCTTGCTGAGGATCATGGCAGTTTTAGTTGAAAAGCTTGGCAACTGACTGTTGGCTACCTTTGGAAGAAACTGCCATTACCTGTTTTATTCACCAGACTACCTCAATATAATTTCCTTCTATTTGTTTTTAAACTTCAGAGAAGCTAAGGAAGAGTGTGAGGGCAACTCGTTACTATTACAAACATAGGGCAAAAATTTTTTAAAATGTATAATTTGCTGTCTCCTTAAATAAATATAGATTTTTTCCTTTATAAATTGCTGCCTCCCTACATGTGTGGTCAAATAGGGAGGCAGCAAGTTATAAATGGAAAAAACACTTGTTCTCCTCACTTCATGTAGTGGCTTTGGTAAGTAGATACTATAATTTCTCTGACATTGAGACTGACTTTCACTTGAAGCACTACCTCATGAAACCATCACTTAATGATAACATCAAATTTAGCCAATGATTCTCGTTGGAAAGTATTTAATACAGGGCTTTTCCATGAGAAGAAGAGCACATTTTGAGCATGCACCATCAGAGGCGTAACAAGGTCATGAGGCACCCATGAGCAAGCCTTTTATTTGAACCAATACACTTCCCCATGAAAACTTTACCCAAAGCCCACCCACCCTCTTCTGACAGACTCCCACAATGACTCACAAACACTGGCCCAATCACACAAACTCAATAATAGTGACTTTTACACAGGCCAATACAGACCCACACACAGACTCACCGACACTAACCCATGCACACACACTGATATATAGACACTGACTAATGCATGCATACACACACATATAAAGACACTGACCCATGCAAACACATACATTGACACACATATTTTCAACACAATTGAATGTCCTATGCTACTTAAAAGTAACATATCACTGCAAACCTGGAGGGTCCATTGCACAGCCGCCAGGGGTTAATTTCTATTTTTTTTTTTGTATTGCATGTTATGTTTGTTTTGTTTTTTAATATGTTTGTGTTAGTGGATAGAATTCTTTTAAATAAAATGATATAATATACTTATAATTACTTAATTATAATACTGTGTTAATAATGACAAACTTGTGTTTCTTGGCAGTAGCACACAATCGAAATACACACTCTTAATCATAAATAAAATACAACACACAATAAGATTCTCTCTTATACCGATATGACCACTTGCAGAAATTGCTCGTTTGCACAGAAAAGATAGGGTTTTATGTGTTCCTAATTATGATCACTCATGCAGGGAGATAGAGATTAGGTTATTCTCTGTCACCTACCCCCAAACAAGGTGACAGCATCAATACATTAGGGAAAAGGATCAAATGTTAATTTGCATTATAATGTAACAGAAACAATGCAAACAAAGTGAATACTGACATAATAATGATGATATACACATGCAACTAGGCACAAATATGACAGATATGTTTTTTTTTAAGTTTTAGCAAATGTTATTTTAGAGGTATTCTTCATGAGAAAATGTCAATGAGCAATTCTGCTGTTTAAATTTATTCATTGGTAAAGGTGGAAAAAAATCAGTAACATATAATTAATTGTATTGAAAAATACAACGCTAGCTAATCAATATTTTATTGATGATAACATTGACTGATAGATGACAGAGACAGACGGACAGATGCAGATTAATTTTGAGTGAAATGATTAAACATGACAGAGTGAAAAAAAAAAAAATTGCAACATAATATATAATAATATATAGTTGAACCATTTGGCTTGAAGAGGCTATCAGTAAAAACCATGAAAAAATAACCTGGTCCCATAAATCACATCTGTAAAACAACCAAGATATAGGTTTTTGCTTTAACAAGTCTTGATCATTGCTCCTTCATGGTACGTGCGGTCTGAGTGAACCGTAATGCACAGGATACGATGTCATATTCAGTAGACTCTAACTCAGTTAGACATTGTTAAAGGAACACTCTAAGCACCAAAACAACTTTGCATAGATGATGTTCCTGCAGTCTCAATGCGCAATTATCTCTGGTAATCCATTTTATTTGTGCAGCCCTAGCCGCAACTCTTCAGGCTGTTATTTGCATAGTCTCCGTTAAAAAAAAAGGTTTGATTTTTACAGCACAGTATGTTTAATTTAGAACTTTTGTTAAGTGCTGCCACTTTCTACCTAGATACACACTTCTTGCCACACACAGATACACACATAAACTGTTACACCCATACATTCTTCCAGAATATACATGGATACACACTGCCAAACTACATACAGAATGCCAGACACACATGCACAGATTGACGAGGGCTGCATAAACAAAGTAATTTAACTCCTAAATGGAAGATAATTTAACAGGATGACTACAAGGGAATGATCTACACACTAAAATTGAATTGTTAAGCTAAAGTTGTTTTGGTGCTTGTAAAGTCCCATTCACCAGAATGTACAAAGCACATACCTTTGTCCTTTGCCCTAAATCACTTTGGAATAAATCTTCCTAACAGTAGAGCATGTAAACATGAATATGCCTCAGCAAGCAAACTTGTAATAAAATGTATGTACTGTGTTATTGTTAATGAATAATTATTTTAATGTCTACCCCAAAACTCCATTGTCCATTGTTTTTTTTTTACAGACAATGCGCTATTATAAAGTGCTTGGTTTAGGAATTGCAAGTATGTTTGCATTGCGTGGCTCTCAAAATGCCGAGACTATAACAGCAAACAGAAATATGTGCGAGATATTTTGTAGTAATCATTGCATAACATTGTCATCTTATGGAACACAAGAGATATTAAAGAGACAATCTAGCACTTTAGCTTGCTGAAGTGCTTTACGTGCGAAGAATGTGTCTTCTTTTTTCATTTTACAAAAAAATATTATTTTAATAGAAATTGGCTCTTTTATAAAGCAACTTTGTTACACCCTCCTGAATTTCAATCAGACAACAGGTAGTGTTACTTCCTGAATTGGTTAGATCAGTGGACCTAATTCTAGAGGCAGCAATTGCCCAGAACACCAAAGTCTCTGATTGGACAGACACAAAAAGTCTTGGTGAGGTTAGAAGGGGAGGGCTTGCAAAGGCAGCAGACAAGAAATCTGAAGCTGTTTTTAGACATATCCCCAATGAAAAAGCATAATTAAATGCATGCATGTTTTCATTGAGGGGTATATCTACGAAACAGTTGTTTTGGGGGGAGGGGGAGATTTTGGCAGTTGAGTTTCACTTTAATGCCAGGACCCTTGTATAGGTTTTAGACAGGGATAAAGACATGCCACAGTAATATTCTGTACTAAAAATAACATTGAAATCTGTGTTGTCCTGGATCAATGTATCCCCTGAGGGCAACCATGTAAGACGAGGCTGATTAATTTGAATTGAAGCCACTGAGTCTGTCTGATTTTGTAGTTACTCCATAACCTTACATAGAATAATCAACCACCAGATGATTATGTACTTTGCATTCTCTGATTACAAATGGTGTTATTCTGCGCTTCAAAATAAGATGCATTTTACTCCATTTACCAAGTTCACTTCGTTCAAACAATTCCAATTTGATGTTAAAAAATGTCATGAAAATCAAATGAATTATTGTTTTCAGCTCAATGACAAAGAAATATAAAAAAAATAAACATGTTGCACAAGGTGTAACTGTTGTTAGTATCACATTTATTTTTGTTACATTGATTGATTTAGGATGCCATGGATACATTAATATTAATAGGAGTTAATCATATTGCCTATCAAACCATGTTCATTTACTGTGTATAACATGAATAGCAATTGGACCTTTTTGCTTGTGGTGTGTTTTTCAAATCACAAGTGATAGATTATATTCGAACCATATTTTGTGTGGTGTGGTCAAAATCTTTTCAGATTTTTACCTTTGGCCCTTTTCACAATATTTCACAATAAATAGTAGTACACTGAAAAATGACTTGAAACAAAATTGATGATTGAGAATTAACGTTTGGAATACAAATCCCATACATGCACATATCTGTTTGTCATTAACAAAAAAAGTGTATATATACAAAATATTGATATGTTCTGCTGTACATGACAATATTGGGTAAAATCGAGTTTATTTCCCTTATCTTGACGATTTAAAAAAAAATGGGGGGGGGGGAGATGGGGTATGTAGCATGTTGAATGGCATGCTAATGTGATAATTGCCATGTAATAATCTTTCTTCATGTACTTATATTGTATGGATACTCTGCAAACTTGTAAACACAGTTTCTTTTCCGTTTTTTTTTTCTCTTGTGAAATGAAATTTTTTTTTATTATTATTTCCATTGTCAGGTCTTGAAAATACTTAATAAAACATGAACATTGGAAAAAGAAAATGACTTGAAAAAATATAAGCCTAAATTCACTGACTTTCAAAAATGTTTTACGCAACTATAAAACTTGCTGTTTTAGCCTAAGTTTTGTAGTTGGGTTTTAAAGTCGATGTAATTTGGTGTTTAGTGAATAAACGCATAAGTATCAAAGAACTGCACTAATCTTAAAGGCTCAAATAAGAAGCAATGTAAATATATTTTTTTTATTATTGAATCAACTGTATTTTCTACAACCTGCTACAGGTTAACTTTTCAAACATTTCAAGGCAAATACTCTTTTCGTTTCTATATAGAGTACAGTTATTAATAAAAAAAAATGGGAAATTTAAGGGCTTATAGCAGGCTTCCCCAAACTCTGGCCTTCCGGATGTTGCTGAACTACAACTCCCATGATTCTCAGCCTATCTATTTCATTCATAGACTCATGGGAGTTGAAGTTCAGCAACATCTGGAGGGCTGGAGTTTGGGGAAGCCTAGCTTACAGCCTTGCTCCTAAAATAAAAAAAGAAAGCAAACAGAAATTCTTCTATGAACTTGCCATTCCAAAGTTTATTAGATAAAGTGAAATTAAAATAGGACATAAAATTAAAATAGGACATGTCACCTCACCTCTTGCCCGAATTCCTGCATAAAAGCCTAAAATATATCTATAATAGTCTTTAATTTCTATTTGTTTTTTAAATTGTATTAGTGGTTTGATTTCAAGAAATGTGTGTATATATATATATATTGTATAAGAAAGAAGCTTGTCAGCAAATGTTTTAGACACATAGAAATAAAAAGTCATGATGTGTAAAAATCTGTGAAAACCACTACGTCTCAGAACATCATTTTCTGTTAGACATTATTTATTCATCCAGAGCCGGAATTTAGGTGAAATCTCTTCACTTACGTTTTGGGGAAATACCTACCATATCTGCTAATACAGACCCTTAGGGGTACATCTCCTTTATTTTTTATTTAACTGAGGATCTACTAGAATCAACCAGTCTTTGTCTCTCTCCAAGCTACACTGTCCCA